AACAGCATGCAGGAATACAAGTAGTAAACCCTAATTGGGCTGTACCCCATATGGGCTACCCCACTACAGCCTAGACAATATGCAGCATATATGTTTGACACACCCCCATACGCAAAGTGGGGGAGAACAAGGGGTCAAACGACCAGTCAAGAGAAGCAAAGCAAGCTCAGGGTGGATCTCAACGTCACCACACATTCTGAGCACAAGCAAAGGGGCAATAAGGCCAGTCCACATGCAGAGATATATATACAACAATAACAGTACAGTGATGACTACCTAGCAAGAGCAGGCATGCATGTATATATATAGATCACAGTACAAGCAGAGACTACAGCAAGTGTGGAAACGTAGGCACAAGGCCTAACAGGGTACAAAAGCGCTGATGATCACCAGGCGGAAGTGCCTTGGTGAATATATCAGCAGTGTTGGCCCGAATGGCCACGTGACGAAGACGAAGCTGGCCTCGCTGCTGCAACTCTCGAGCCAGGAAGTAACGCAGAGCAATGTGCTTCGTTCTGTGCTCCAGTCTGTGCTCCTCACACAAGGCAATGGCGGCCTTGTTGTCAACGTACAGCACTGGAGGAGAACGAGGCTGCTCTCCCAAGTCAGTCAGCAGGTAGGTGAGTCAGCGTAACTCCTGTGCAGCCATGGCTGTGGCGTAGATCTCAGCCTCACAACTGGAGCCGAGAACTGAAGACGAGCGTGTAGAACGCCACGAAACTGAACCAGAGCCAAGGCTGAAGGTGTAACCCTGTGACGACCGCTGAGTAGCCAGGTCGTCAACCCAAGAAGCGTCTGAGTGCCCAGTGAGAACAACTGGGCTCGTCCCTCCAAGCACTAGCCCCATGCCTGATGTGCTGCACAAGTAGCGCAGTACCCTCTTAGCAGCAGCCATGTGCTCAGGTCGGTGCCGACCAGGAGCCACGTAGCGAGCCAGAAGACCAAGAGGGTACGCGAGGTCAGGTCGAGTGCAAGTCATCAGGTACATGAGGCAGCCGACTAGCTCTGGGTAAGGACCACTCGGCTCTACGGACTCGTCCGAAGGTGGAGCTGAGAGCGTGTGACCTGTAGCCAGAGGAGTGGCCTGTGCTGAAGACCAGGTGAAGCCGAAGCGCTGAAGGACCTGCTGCACCATGTGTGACTGAGTCAAGGTGATGGTGCGGCGTGCTCTGTCCCGGGTGATCTGCAAGCCAAGGTAGCTGCGCAGCTCACCCAAGTCTGTGCACGTGTGTCTCTTCTGCAGCTCCGACTTCACGTGGGCGAGAGCCTCAGTGTCAGCAGTGGCAAAGACCAAGTCGTCGTCGTACACGAGGATGTAGAACGGCGGCAGTGAAGTGTCGGTGCGCAGAAACAGCGACGGGTCAGCAGTAGAAGGCGCGAACCCAAGAGCCGCAAGCGTAGTCCTCAGCGTGTCGTGCCACTCACGTGGCGCCTGGCGGAGACCGTAGACCGGCCGCCGGAGGCTCCACTGGGTGCCAGGAGGGAACGACCCAGTGAAGCCCGGGGGGCGGCACAGCCAGATCTCCTCGTGCAGGCTGCCCTGCAAGAAAGCTGTGCTGAAGTCAAGCGAGTGAAGCTCGTAGTCACGGTGAGCAGCAACATGCAGCAGCACCCGAAGAGTGGTCATCTTCGGGGTGGGAGAGAAGGTCTGGAAAAAGTCAACTCCCTCTCGCTGACTGAAGCCTCGAGCCACGTAACGCGCCTTGAAGACAGGCAGAGAACCCGGCGGCCGCTTCACCCTGAAAATCCACATGCCACTGACGATGTTCGCCCCAGGTGGGGGAACCTCGTCAACGTAGGTGCCTGTGGACTTCCAGGAAGCCATCTCTGCGTCCATGGCTGCCTGCCACTGAGAGGAGTAGGGACCCTCTATCGCCTCTGCGTAAGAGCGCGGAGTCGGGATGTCTGGTGCATCCGGGTCTCCCTCAGGGGCAAGTAGCGAGGACACAAGATGAGGTAAAGCAGCAGCAAGACACTGGAACTTCTCCTGCCTGTCCTCAAGGACGTCCGTGCTAAGAGCACACTCACCCCCGACGGACGGAGGACAGACAGACTCAGACCCAGCAACAAGACTAGCGGCGTAGTCTAGACGACAGGCAGCAGCAAAGTCAACAAGCTCAGCGACCAAGGCAGACGCAGCAGTAGACTCAAACGACGGGTCAGTGACAACAGTGGCTAGGAGACGCGTGACAGTAGGGTGCTCAGTACGAAACCGGTCAGACTCAGGGTCCGGAACGGCAGGCAGAGAGGACGCAGGGGGAGACGGCAGAGGAACAGGCTGCGGAGCAGAGGAAGGACGACGGACAACAAGGTGTGCGCTGGGGACAGCCGGCTGACGCGCACGAGCGACACGACGAACGGTACGACCAGAACGAACAGGCGAGACAGGACGCGACGCAGGCTCACGACGCGTAGCAGGACTGCCTGTCGGCTCAGTGTAAGGAGAGGGAGCAGGTAGCGGTGAGCCAGTCTGTAACGGAAGACCAGTAGACGACGGGAGAGTAACAACCTGACGAAGAGCAGAGTCAGGCGGCGGCAGAGACGACGGAGACGGCGAAGCGAAGAACAGTCGTATCGGCGCAGCTGCACTAGTACCGGCAACTCCAGCAGCTCCAGTGCCTCTAGCAGCTCCAGTACCTCCAGCAGCTCCCGTACCTCCAGCAGCTCCAGAAGCTCCAGTCCCAGAGCCGACACCCCCAGTCCCAGGGTCTCCAACCTCTGTGTCTCCAGCAGCAGCACCCCCAGACCCAGCACCTCCAGTCCCAGGGTCTCCAGCCTCAGTGTCTCCAGCAGCAGCACCCCCAGAACCAGCACCTCCAGTCCCAGGGTCTCCAGCCTCAGTGTCTCCAGCACGAGCACCTCCAGGACCAGCGACTCCAGCACCTCCAGTAGACAAAGGACCAGCACCACTCCTAGCTCCAGCAGCGCGACGCTGACGGCGACCGTACCAGTCCTGCAGCTGCTGTGGGGTGAGAGGCACACGTGGACGAAGGCGGCTACTCCAAAAAGACCGCGCAACAGCAGACTCAGAACCCTCAGCGCCCGCACCCCCAACGGCTCCAGAACCTCCGGTGTCAGTACCCTCAGCACCAGTACCTCCAGCGGCTCCAGAACCTCCAGCACGAGCACCCTCAGCAGCTCCAGAACCTCCAGCGTCAGTACCGCCAAGCTCAGCACCCCCAGACCCCTCACACTCAGGCTCAGCACCACCAGGCTCCACACCCTCAAGCTCCGCACCCTCAGGCTCAGCACCCCCAGGCTCAGCACCCCCAGGCTCCGCACCCCCAGGCTCAGCACCCCTAGAAGTAGCACCCCGAGAAGGACCACCCTCAGTAAGACCTGAGTCACCAGTGACCTCAACCGGCGCAGTCAAGGGAGGAGGGTCTACCTGAGAAACACCTGAAGGAGCAGGACCAGGAGTGGGGAGGGGGTCTACCTGGGGAGCACCTGGAGCGAGGAAGAGCGGCGGGGGGGGGAGCGGGGCAGTGCGGTAGGGGAAGAGACGGTAAAAGGGAACCGACTCGTCGAACGTGACGTCCTGAGACGCAAAGACACGGCGCGAGGTGGGATGGTAAAACTGCCAACCAGGCGCGTCAGGGACAAAGCCAAGGAAGACACAGGGAACAGCGCGGGCGGAGAGCTTGTCCGCGGTGGTATCGCGGACAAACGCACGAGCACCCCAGACCCGGAAACGCGACGCATCACCAACCTTCCCCGTCCACAGCAGTGTGGGCGAGGTCTCCGGCAAGAAGACACGGGGCCAGAGGTTGAGCTGATGCGCGGCGTACCGGACCGCAAACGGCCACAGGAAATGGGGGGCAGCCGCATGGATCATGGAGGTACGAGCGACCTCCATGACTAAGCCAATGCGACGCTCAGCAACCCCATTCTGCTGTGGAGAGGCCGGAAGCGTGAACGACTGGGTGATGCCGTGCTCCGCACAGTAGGCTGCCAAGAGGTCAGAGGAGAACTCACCACCTCTGTCAGAGTGCAGACGCAGGACAGGAAAGTCCCGCCGGAACCGCTCGCGGAGCTGGAGACGAACAGCGCGGATCCAAGGGATCAAAACATCAGGGACGTCCCCCTTGCTCTGCAAGGGGAAGACCGTGGTGTAACGCGTGTAGTCGTCGACAACCAGCAGGAAGTACCGCGCGCGGCCCTCTGCCTCGGCCACGACCTGCCGCTGATGCGGAAAATCCACATGCCACTGACGATGTTCGCCCCAGGTGGGGGAACCTCGTCAACGTAGGTGCCTGTGGACTTCCAGGAAGCCATCTCTGCGTCCATGGCTGCCTGCCATTGAGAGGAGTAGGGACCCTCTATCGCCTCTGCGTAAGAGCGCGGAGTCGGGATGTCTGGTGCATCCGGGTCTCCCTCAGGGGCAAGTAGCGAGGACACAAGATGCGGTAAAGCAGCAGCAAGACACTAGAACTCCTCCTGCCTGTCCTCAAGGACGTCCGTGCTAAGAGCACACTCACCCCCGACGGACGGAGGACAGACAGACTCAGACCAGTCGATCACTTACCGGAAAACACTTGCAAGGAAGGGTGGATTTTGCCCTGAAGCGGTACCAACCCATCTGCCTGCACAGTTGTCCGCCGAGTATCCGTCGTAGCGCGGGCAATTCGGAGTGTCATTGATGTTGTAAACACCATACCATGCAGTGTACTTGCCAGCCACAGCAGCGGGAAACTGCGTGCAGCCAGTCAGGTTCCAGCGGAAGGTGTAGGGCCGGGAGGTATAGTCCTTGGCTGCTGAATTTACGATGAGTGTGATGCTGTCGGAACCGACTGTGAAGTTTCCTCCTGCGAAAGAATGGCAAAGGGAAGGACTTAGTAATATTAGCATATTAATCCTTAGTTCTTAGCCATACTGCATCATTCCACCCACCTTACCTCTGCTTAGAGCCTCAACGATCAATCTTTCAGGCAAACTGCTTTGTAACTTCATTTTTTGTGAAATAAATGAAAAAAAGTTGCCAAAAGAATCTTGTTTGCGAGTCATATAGAAACACCGCACGACGGGGAAGGCTTGGCGCCGGCCAAGTCTAGCCCGACTTTACTTGGCGTCATTAAGCTTGGCAGAGCGAGATAAGGTGAAGTATGGGGGAATGGCGAGCGGGGAGAGGAGAGAGTGACGCGAGGTGGGGACGACAGAGGGTGGTGAGTGGCGAGAGAAGGGAGTGGGGCGAGTGGGGAGAGGAGAGAATGGGGCGAGAGGGGAGAGGAGAGAATGGGGCGAGAGGGGAGAGGAGAGAATGGGGCGAGAGGGGAGAGGAGAGAATGGGGCGAGAGGGGAGAGGAGAGAATGGGGCGAGAGGGGAGAGGAGAGCATGGGGCGAGAGGGGAGAGGAGAGAATGGGGCGAGAGGGGAGAGGAGAGCATGGGGCGAGAGGGGAGAGGAGAGAATTGGGCGAGAGGGGAGAGGAGAGAATGGGGCGAGAGGGGAGAGGAGAGAATGGGGCGAGAGGGGAGAGGAGAGAATGGGGCGAGTGGGGAGGGGAGAGAATGGGGCGAGAGGGGAGAGGAGAGAATGGGGCGACTGGGGAGGGGAGAGAGTGGAGACTCACCCTCAACACATTCAGTGGGGGTCATCCCAAAACCTTGAGGGCACTCGCAGTAAGGCACCTGCGCCAAATCTGGGTGCCGCAGCGTGACATCACTGTCCTCCGTCTCAAGCACGGTCTTGCACGTGGCTCCAGTGGGGCAGGTGCCGCAGGGTGAGGCTGAGGGGTGGGGATGGGTGAAGTGCGGTATGAATCTTCAGACGCCTCAAAAAGCAGTGCGTTCCACTGTTGGGTGATACCCGCAGCATGGGATCACTGTCCTCCGTCTCAAGCAGGAGGCTGGAGAGCAGGGGCTGCAAGGGACAATGAAGGGATGGGGAAATGAGCACGCGCAGTAAGGCACCAGGAGCTTGCTGAATTCAGTCGCAGGCACGGTCTTCCAGTAGGGCGCCTGCACTGGAATTGCTTTTGAGAATTCTCAAAAGTCGCTTTTCAGAAGCTTTTGAGAATTCTCAAAAGTCGCTTTTGAGAAGCTTTTGAGAATTCTCAAAAGCGACAGGCACGGTCTTCCAGTAAGGCGCCTGCACTGGAATTCCATTGTTGGACGATGCGAGCAGCAAGAGGTCGTCTCAGGCACGGTCTTGCAAGTGGCTCCAGTAAGAACGGGTGCAATGCGGTATGTGAGTGCAATTGCTGGTGGGGGATCGAGGCTCCATTGGGGCAGGCGCCACAGGGTGAGTGTGCAGAGCACGGGGTGCAAGGGAGAATGAACAAGGGCTGGAGCACGCCCAGTAAGGCACCTGCAGCTCACTGATTGTGCCCCAGGCACGGCCTTGCAGGTGGCTCCAGGGGGGCAGGCGCCACAGGGTGAGTCTGAGGAGTAGGGATGGGTGCATTGCGGTATGTGAGTGCAATTGCTGGTGGGGATTGAGGCTCCATTGGGGCAGGCGCCACAGGGTGAGTGTGCAGAGCACGGGGTGCAAGGGAGAATGAACAAGGGCTGGAGCACGCCCAGTAAGGCACCTGCAGCTCACTGATTGTGCCCCAGGCACGGCCTTGCAGGTGGCTCCAGGGGGGCAGGCGCCACAGGGTGAGTCTGAGGAGTAGGGATGGGTGCATTGCGGTATGTGAGTGCAATTGCTGGTGGGGATTGAGGCTCCATTGGGGCAGGCGCCACAGGGTGAGTGTGCAGAGCACGGGGTGCAAGGGAGAATAAACAAGGGCTGGAGCACGCCCAGTAAGGCACCTGCAGCTCACTGATTGTGCCCCAGGCACGGCCTTGCAGGTGGCTCCAGGGGGGCAGGCGCCACAGGGTGAGTCTGAGGAGTAGGGATGGGTGCATTGCGGTATGTGAGTGCAATTGCTGGTGGGGATTGAGGCTCCATTGGGGCAGGCGCCACAGGGTGAGTGTGCAGAGCACGGGGTGCAAGGGAGAATGAACAAGGGCTGGAGCACGCCCAGTAAGGCACCTGCAGCTCACTGATTGTGCACCAGTCACGGCCTTGCAGGTGGCTCCAGGGGGGCAGGCGCCACAGGGTGAGTCTGAGGAGTAGGGATGGGTGCATTGCGGTATGTGAGTGCAATTGCTTGTGGGGATTGAGGCTCCAGAGGGGCAGGTGCCACAGGGCGAGTCTGAGGGGTGGGTGGGTGCGCATGGGTGCACTGCGGTATGATCTTTTAGGAGCCTTGAAAAGCAGTGAGGCACCTGCACCGACGGGTAGAATATCCAAGGCAGAACGAGACGCAATGGAGAGGGAGAAGCAGGTGAAGAGGGACAGTGAAATATCATGTGTGAGGGGTGGGCATGGGTGCGGTGTGGTGCAGTATGTAAGTGGCGATTCCTAGTGGGGAATTCTGGATCCAGAGTAACGAGAGGGGAAGAGGTAGGCTCAACGAAGCACAAGAAACACGATGCACTCTCACTCTAGCATTGCACAGGATGCACTCTCACTCTAGCATTGCACAGGATGCACTCTCACTCTAGCATTGCACAGGATGCACTCTCACTCTAGCATTGCACAGGATGCACTCTCACTCTAGCATTGCACAGGATGCACTCTCACTCTAGCATTGCACAGGATGCACTCTCACTCTAGCATTGCACAGGATGCACTCTCACTCTAGCATTGCACAGGATGCACTCTCACTCTAGCATTGCACAGGATGCACTCTCACTCTAGCATTGCACACGATGCACTCTCACTCTAGCATTGCACAGGATGCACTCTCACTCTAGCATTGCACAGGATGCACTCTCACTCTAGCATTGCACAGGATGCACTCTCACTCTAGCATTGCACAGGATGCACTCTCACTCTAGCATTGCACACGATGCACTCTCACTCTAGCATTGCACAGGATGCACTCTCACTCTAGCATTGCACAGGATGCACTCTCACTCTAGCATTGCACAGGATGCACTCTCACTCTAGCATTGCACACGATGCACTCTCACTCTAGCATTGCACACGATGCACTCTCACTCTAGCATTGCACACGATGCACTCTCACTCTAGCATTGCACACGATGCACTCTCACTCTAGCATTGCACACGATGCACTCTCACTCTAGCATTGCACAGGATGCACTCTCACTCTAGCATTGCACAGGATGCACTCTCACTCTAGCATTGCACACGATGCACTCTCACTCTAGCATTGCACAGGATGCACTCTCACTCTAGCATTGCACAGGATGCACTCTCACTCTAGCATTGCACAGGATGCACTCTCACTCTAGCATTGCACAGGATGCACTCTCACTCTAGCATTGCACAGGATGCACTCTCACTCTAGCATTGCACAGGATGCACTCTCACTCTAGCATTGCACAGGATGCACTCTCACTCTAGCATTGCACAGGATGCACTCTCACTCTAGCATTGCACAGGATGCACTCTCACTCTAGCATTGCACAGGATGCACTCTCACTCTAGCATTGCACAGGATGCACTCTCACTCTAGCATTGCACAGGATGCACTCTCACTCTAGCATTGCACAGGATGCACTCTCACTCTAGCATTGCACACGATGCACTCTCACTCTAGCATTGCACACGATGCACTCTCACTCTAGCATTGCACACGATGCACTCTCACTCTAGCATTGCACAGGATGCACTCTCACTCTAGCATTGCACAGGATGCACTCTCACTCTAGCATTGCACAGGATGCACTCTCACTCTAGCATTGAACACGATGCACTCTCACTCTAGCATTGCACACGATGCACTCTCACTCTAGCATTGCACAGGATGCACTCTCACTCTAGCATTGCACAGGATGCACTCTCACTCTAGCATTGCACAGGATGCACTCTCACTCTAGCATTGCACAGGATGCACTCTCACTCTAGCATTGCACAGGATGCACTCTCACTCTAGCATTGCACACGATGCACTCTCACTCTAGCATTGCACAGGATGCACTCTCACTCTAGCATTGCACAAGATACACTCTCACTCTAGCATTGCACAGGATGCACTCTCACTCTAGCATTGCACAGGATGCACTCTAATGGAAACTTGAAATCTGCATGAGACGACCTTTGAGGCGCATCAAAACTTGAATCGCCGACACGTCTTGACATAGCAATGCATGTGATGAGGTGAATGCAAGAAAAACTCGCCCCACTGGCAGCAACGGCATGCTCACTCACCCCACTTGCAGTAGCGCCCTCCGTTCTGATCCACCTCACAGGTGCCATCCGGCTCACAGCCCAACGCCGCACAGGCAGGATCTACAACAACGGAGGCGAACAGAAAGGGGCATCAAAGTAAGATATGGGAATGCCACCTCACAGGTGCCATGCCATCCGGCGCACAGCCCAACGCCGCACAGGCAGGATCTACAACAACCGAGGCGAACAGAAAGGGGCATCAAAGAAAGATAATGGGAATGCCACCTCACAGGTGCCGTGCCATCCGGCTCACAGCCCAACACCGCAGAGGCAGTATCTGCAGGAGAGAGGAGAGAGGGCTGCGTGAAAGGCTGAAGAAGGTGCCAATCAATAGAAGAGCGTGAAGCGTGCTTCATCATTATGTGCCGTAAGTTGTCATAAGGACATCAGCATGCCCTCAGAATATGCTTCATAAGTTAGGGCAGGAATATGCTTTTTAAAAAAAGGACTTACCTCACTGTCAGTAGCGGGAAAGATCGGAAGGCAAGAGCTCACTTGCTCTTTGATTCGACTAAAAAATGCGTCAAGAGCTCTCTTGCAGTAGAGGAAGGCACCAAACCAAACGACACTCACTTGCCAGAGCACGCCCTTACAATTGACACCTAAGGGAATGCGTTTCTATCTAGGGGAGGCACAAGTGATTTTACCGTCCTTTGGCTGCGGCTGCTGTGATTGCTGCTGCGTGACTTCCGGCTGCTGAGGCATGACTTCCGGCTGCTGCGGCGTGACTTCTGGCTGCTACGGAGTAACTTCCGGCTGCTGTGGCTGCTGCGGAGTAACTTCCGGCTGCTGTGGCTGCTGCGGAGTAACTTCCGGCTGCTGTGGCTGCTGCGGAGTAACTTCCGGCTGCTGTGGCTGCTGCGGAGTAACTTCCGGCTGCAGTGGCTGCTGCGGAGTAACTTCCGGCTGCTGTGGCTGCTGCGGAGTAACTTCCGGCTGCTGTGGCTGCTGCGGAGTAACTTCCGGCTGCTGTGGCTGCTGCGGAGTAACTTCCGGCTGCTGTGGCTGCTGCGGAGTAACTTCCGGCTGCTGTGGCTGCTGCGGCGTATCTTCCTTCTGCTGCTCAGGAACAGCGCAAAGAACCGATGCTACAGAAGCCCAACTCCGGAGCCGCTTCTTTGAGATTGGGGACCTGAAGGGCGTGGCAAGTGGAAGCACAAGAGATGACAGCGTGGTTATTCTTCCCTCGCCTCCCCTTCCTGACTCTCCCCTCCCCTCCCCATCTCCTTCCCAAGCCATACACCGTTAATGTCTTCTCTGAGTGCCTTACACAGTCCAAACCACACAAACTCTGACCGACATTTGAGGCGCCTCAAAAGTACACTGCTAGTGACCTCTCTCAGTGCATTACGCACAGCCACACCACCCAGAATCACACCAACACAGATGGCTCCGCAGACACACACCACCCAACACTCACATGGCTATTCTGTCACACCACCTGCCACCAACTCGGTTATTATTCCCTTCCTTCCCCTCTCTTCCCCTCTGTTTCCCGCCCTTCCCCACAGCTGACACATACCACCCTCCACTCACCTGGCTGCAGCAGTGACTGCCGGGGTTAACGATTCCACAGCCACACCACCCGAAATCACAGCCACACCACCCAAAATCACAGCCACACCACTCAAAATCACAGCCACACACGCATTCCAAACACTTGTATAGCATGCCATGCCACCGCTGCGCTGACACACGCACGCACGCACACACACACACACACACACACACACACACACACACCACCCAAACTCACCCACACACAATAAAAACACACATATGGCATGGCACTGCTGACACACACACCACCCGCCACTCACTTGGCTGCAGTAGCAGTGTTCGGGCTGACCACGCACTCCAGCCAAACTCACACCGACACACATGGCATGGCACTGCTGACACACACACCACCCACCACTCACTTGGCTGCAGTAGCAGTGTTCGGGCTGACCACGCACTCCAGCCAAACTCACACCGACACACATGGCATGGCACCGCTGACACACACCTTCCCCACCGCTAAGACACACCAAAACCACAGCTAACACACACCTTACCCACAGCTGACACACACCACCCGCCATTCACTTGGCACAGCTGACACACACACCACCCGCCATTCACTTGGCTGCTGCAGCAGCTGCGTTCGGGTTGGCCACGCTCTCCACCTCCTTGCGCTGGCAGCTGCCCTTCCCATCCCATCCACACACCACCGCGACGCACATGGCATGGCATGGCATGGCACCGCTCACACACATGGCATGGCATGGCATGGCATGGCACCGCTCACGCACATGGCATGGCATGGCATGGCATGGCACCGCTCACACACATGAGGTGACTTTTGAGTCGACTCACAAGCGCACACACATCAACCTTCACTTCACTTACTTGCCTGCAATAGCACTGCCCGGGTTGACCACGCTCTCCATCGCCGTGCCCTGGCAGCCGTCCTCCCCAAAGAGCTTGACATGCGAACAAGCGAAACGTGCAACCTTGCTACGCGAATCCACTCACTTGGCTGCAGTAGCAGTACGTGCCCGGGTTGGCCATGCCCTCCACCTCCTTGCCCTGGCAGGGTTGCATCCCAAACACCACCCACCACCACTCACAACACTCAAGCACCTTTTGAGTTGACTCAGAAGCCAAACACCACCCACCACTCACAACACTCAAGCACCCACCACCACCACTCACTTGGCTGCAGCAGCAGCGCCCGGGTTGACCACACTATCCACCTCCTCGCCCTGGCAGCCGCCCTTCCTAAAGAACTTGACCTGCGCACACGAGGCCCTCTCCGCCACGCTGCCCGCCGCACTGCCCGAATCCACACGGCTCGAATACCCATAGCCGTAGCCCCCGTTGCTCGTGCCCCCACGGCCGTGCCACCACACGGTCACGCTGCTCCGCCTCGCCTTCTTGGGCACGCTCACGCAGCGCTGCTTGCGGAAGGTCAGCCGCAGCCCTCCCACCACCACCTCCGTCGCAACCTGCGTGCTGGACGCCTCGCCCGTGCCGGGAATATCCGTGCCTGGGCTCCCCTTGCCGGGGCTTCCCTTGTTGGGGCTGCCCGTGTTGGGGCTTTCCTTGTCGAGGCTTTTTGGCAATGCGCCATCGCCATACGCGTTAGACAGCATGCTCCGGTGTGCCATGCGGTGTGCCACGCGGTGTGCCATGCGGTTCACCGTGTCGTCGCCATACACTGGCTTCATCATCTGAACTGCTGCAGAGGACAAGGGAGAAGGCGTGCAGAGAAGAGAAGAGAGCGCCATGTGAGCGAGCAGAGAGAGCTGATGTGAGAGAGAAGAGAGAGCAAATATGAGAGCCGATGTGAGAGAGAAGAGAGATCTGATTTGAGAGAGCTGCCAGAGGCGGGAGGAGATGCGAGAAGGCACGGAGCGCAACGAGAGAGCAGCAGTTGAAGGCAAGACAAGAGCAGCAGTACAATAGAAGATAGCAGGAAGGCAGGAGCAGTGAAAAAGGCATGGATCTGAGTGGTCGCACATCACGACAGGGCTGACCACTAGTGAAAGCTCTTGCAGAGATGAGAGAGAAGAAGAAAAGAAGAAGACTGACCACAGATTAGGGCAAGGGCGAGGAGCAAGAGGCCGGCAGGAGAGGCGCGCATCGACCCCATGATGATGACGGCGGGGGTTCCGCGGGAAACGCGGCGGAAGAGGCTGCGGGAGAGGCGGCGAAAGAGGCGCAACAGACGATGGTAAAGTGCGGAGTGAAGGTGTTCGTTCGATACAGCTCAACGTGGCTCTTTGCTACTCGGAGGTGGGTGGAATGATTGATAGTCCAGTGCAACGAAAGAACTGAAAGGAGAATGGTCGAAAAAATGGCTAGCTTGCTTCGAGCTTTGCCTGCACTTTGATTTACGTCCCGAGTTATACACATGAGCCAAGCGTAACAGCCGCCGCGCCATGGCGAATGCTAGGAACGCGTTCTTTGCTGGAATGAGTCCCGAAGTCGAAAGTGGCTTGAATCGGATTCGCGGAATTGTGCTTAGCTCGTGTGAGTAGCGGGGAGGAGATAATCTAAATTCAGGAGCGCGATACGAGCGACGAATTGCTGGAAAAGGAACGCGGTGGAGTATCATTCGTGAGCCAATGGCGAAACGCAGAGGCTTCCAGCACGGCCTTTTCTATTTGTGGCTTCCAATCACGTTCAACATTTAGTGATGACATGGCAAAGCGAGAATCGTTTGGAACTAGCAGCTGCATTATTTTGGCGAGCATTATGCAACTAAAACAGGTTCGTAGCTTGTATGTTTGAGCCTGCCTGATCAAGAGACGCGTTCCAACGAAGCTCGAGAAACTAGCCATGTAGGCTGGCGTGAGTTGCGGGGAACGAAGTTTTGAATGCTAGGAATTAAGATCTATGTGGTTGGCTCAAGTTACTCACGAAGACGAGATAGGAGCGACAAGTTGCTGGAAATGGACGAGATGGGGAATCGTTCGCGAGCCAATAGCCTAGCGGACTGGCTTCCAGCAAAGCTTTTTTCGTTTGTATCTTCCAATCAACAGTAGGGGTGATACAACTACGCCATACCTGATGCTCGTTTGAGTCACCCATGGTTACCTCGTGAAGAGGGCGCTTAAGTGATTCTTGCATTTCGCAAAGGTTCCTTCAATTCGCAGCTAGCAAAAAAGGGCTTATAAAAAATTGCAACTTCGTCTCTTCAGTTTGACTTCGGTCTCTTCGTTACTTTTGGTTCGGAATTACTGCAACATGCAAGAGGTGCTTGTAATGTGGGTGCAACTGACCGGTCCAGATGCAGACTTTCCATCAGGTGCAGAGCAAATTCGCGTGCAGGGGTTGAGCATCGTGTGTACAGAACATGCAACCAGCACAAATGAAGCACGCGCTGGAGGTTAGTGTGGTAGATCCTATCTCGCTATCCGCGCAGCACCATGGACAGATTGGTCGCAAGGTGGGTTTTGCCGCGAGAGAGAGAGAAAAGCGGAAGACGGCGGACTACAAATCGCTTCTACAGCGGCATGGGGGAGTGCAGTTCACACCACTCATTGCTGAGACATGGGGATGCTTGGGGGGGAGTTTTGGACGGTGGCTTAAGAAGCAGGGTGACGCGCAGATCGAGATAGCAAAGACGAAAGGGGCGGCGCGAGCTACGGGAAAGGGTTTCTCGGCTTATTTGCTCGGATCGCTCAAAGCGGCTGTGGGTGTGGCTTTGCAACGGGCTCAGGCGCGTGTGATCTTGTTACGCGCTGCGTCGATGATGAGAGGCCCAGAGGCTGTTTGGGTGGAGCGGGAGGATGTTGAGGAGGAGATGGGATGGGATGCTCCGTGGGCGGATGCACCATACTTGGTAGACATGCGGGTTTAGGGAGTGGGTTTAGGGGGGGAGGTTTGGTTCGATGGGAGTGCAGTTGGGGTGCTTTGATGGGAGGGCTTGATGGTGTTTTAAATGTGTGTGCTATTGGGGTTTTCTTGGGGTTGTGTGTGCTGCTTTTTCTTCCTTCTTCCCTGTTTTTCTTCCTCCTATCATTTTTCCCCTATTCCCCTCCTTCTTTCTTCCTCTCTCCTTTTTTCTACTCACGTTATTCCTCCTTTTCTCCTCTCTTCCCGTTTCCACTCCTTTTCCTTGCGTAATTATGCTACATTGTAATAGATAGTACCTCCATTTTATCCATATTCTGTCGTACAAATGAAATTTATGGCGAGCATACCCAACCAGCGACATGTACCAAGTTACGAACCAACCTTGGAAATCATGTCCCACCCACTTTTCTTCTTTCATATAGACACTCACAAACTATCTTGGAAGCACTAACACATTTCCAAAGCATAGACATACAAAAACTAAAGGACACCAGCGCACCTCCCCCCTCCTTAATGATAGGCTTGTGGAAACATACATGTGAAAAAACATAAATTTAACATAAATATATATAAATTTAATTTATAGGTAAATATACATAAATTATTTTAATTTAATACATGTGGAAAGGTAGCTTGTGCCAGCGGTGAATGGTGCTGTGGTATGGGCAAGCCGGGCCTGGCATTCAGAAAACTTTGGTTTGAATGAAACCCCATGAGACCTACCCACGCGAACGTCGTCAAGGTCGCGATGGCGAAGGCGACTTCGGGCTGGTATCCCGAAGTCGATGTGGCTCGTCAGGCGTAGACAACAGCCGACGGATGCACAACGATGCAAGTCAGGCCAATCGTCTGCGCGCACCTGCGAGCGTGCGCACTGCTGTCTTCTACGGGGCAACGCTGGACAGCCGCACTGCTGCAGCGTTGGCACGCCGTCGACCTGCAGTGTTGGCAGGTCGCCTTTCTGCAGTGCTGGCGCGGCTCCTCTATGCAACGCTGGCAGGCGGTCGACCATGCAGTGCTGGCGGTCGACCAGGCTAGCTGCAGAGTTGCTAAGTGCCTGATGTAGTCCATTCTGTGTATCATTCTCTAATTCCAACTTGCTTGATCCTGTGTAGAGCAGGTCGTCGACGTAGACCGTGAGTAGGATGTATTCTCCGCGGAAATCCCGGCTGTACATCTCAGGATCGTGGGGCATCTGCTTGAACCCGATTTCAAGCAGGATGTTGTGCAAGTAATGCTGCCAGAGCCTTGGTGCTTGCTTGATCCCGTAAAGGGATTTGCGCAGCTGGGACACGCGCGAGTCCCCTTCACCGTATGTATGCGGCTGCTCCACGTAGATCACAACATCTACTAACGTGTACAGGAACGCATTTTTCACGTCAATTTGGCGTAGAGGCAGGTGTCTAGCAGATGCGATGGCAAGCAGGATTCGGACGGAGGCGTGGCGGCTGACCGGAGCGAATGTCTGGTCGAAGTCGATGCCATGCCTCTGGTCGTAGCCGCGCACCACCCATCGCGCCTTGAAGCGCTCGATCGTTCCGTCTGCTGCGGTCTTCACGCGGAAGACCCATTTCCCCGAGAGGACCCTTGCGCCTTTGATTGCTGCACGGTCGACCAACACCTAGGTGTCTCGGGATTCGAGCGCCTTGATTTCCGCGTCCATCGCCTCACGCCACTCCTTGCTGTGTGGTCCAATAAGGGCTTGGCGCGGGTTTCGTGGCTCAACGATATGTAGCGCCCTTGAGGTTGCGGTGTGAAGTCCGAGTAGCTGCAGCCCAGAGACGGTGCTGTCGTGGTGATGCTGCGGGATGACTTCCTGCACGTCGTCGTCATCGCTCTCTGGCTCAGGTGGTGCTGGTGGCGCTGCGCTTGTGCCGCTTCCGCTCGTTCCGCCTATTCCTCCTTCTGAGGGATCGTCGTCATCGTCGTCGCTCTTGTGACGATCTCCCCTTGTGAACTCGCCCCTGGTGTCCTGTTCCAGGATTGCTGCAGCGGCTTCGTCCTCGGGCGTTGCGTAGCTGTGTCCGACATTTGCGTAGACGCGGTTCGCGTTAGTCTGTTCGTCATGGCGGAACTGCTCGAGGAAGAGCCGTTCGTAGAAGATAACATCGCGGGCATGGGCGGTCTTCTGGCTGAGGAGGTCCAGCACGATCCACGCTTTGTACTCGTGGCTGATGCCGAGGTGAATGCCCCATCGCGCGCGCCTAGCAAATTTGACGATGGTTGACGTCGGCGGGCGGTACTGCACCATGCACCCCCATACGCGGAGCATGGACGTGTCCCCCTTTGTCCCGGTCTATTTCACGTGGGGAGACAAGTTGCCGGTGATGGCAGTGGTTGACAGCAGGTTGTGGACCCGCACGGCGTGGTGCGTCGCGTAGGTCCAATAGATCGGCGGCAGCTTCGATTGTTTCATCAGCGCCCACACTTTCGTCATAAGCGTGCGATTCGTCCGCTCGGCTACGCCCTGCTGCTGGTGCGCGTAGGGGAGAGAAATATGATGCTCGATCCCCTTGTGCGTCAGGAACTCCTGCAGCTCCTTGCTCCTGAACTCTGCTGCGCCGTCCGACTGCCAGATCTTTAGTTTCTCCCCAGAATGCCGCTGCGCGTGTGCCAGCCAGAGGCTAAAAACTTTGTGCGCTCTGCTACGCGCTTCCACGTTCACGACCCACATGTAGCGTGTCCCAGCGTCGATGAAGGTGAGCGTATACAGCTCATCGTTGACTCCGCAGTGTCCCAAGTTCGGAAAATCGCTGTACACCTTGTACAGTTTGGGAGAGCGGTTAGTTCCCAGGTTCGAGCAGCGGGAACGGTTGGTGACTCAGCGCGG